GGAATTGATTATAAAAGATATTTTATTTTATATAATCTTTAGTATAAAATGGAAGCTCATACTGATAATTTCAAGTTAACTATCCTCCTTCCATCCTCTGTATGCTCTTCCCAACTTTATCCCATTACATAGACCCTTCTAGTCCCTGGCCATAAAGTCACTTCAATGGAACACTAAGAAACAGTGGCTAATAAAATACACACAGGATATTGAATCTTGGCTTAGACTTGGCTAGTCCAAAATGCGTTCAGCTCCAGCTCCTTAGACACATAATTCAGTTTTATTAAGCTTGAATCATTTTTCTTCATCCGCATGATCAGTATAAAATGCAGCATCATTCAATAAGTGTATTGGTACATAGCCAGAAGTCCAGCAGCTGTTCAAAGAGATGACAGAATGATGTTAATGAGGTCAGTAAATTCATCTGTCTAGACAGGTGACCTTCAGCTCTGTTGCCTTGGAAACTTAATTTTCTCTGCGCACAGAAAATCCACCTCTGAAAAGTAAATGTAACATTAATCAGGCACACTAAGCTGAGGCATAAAGCAGTCCCACTTTATCAATTTATCATGAATCCAGGATATGTATAATAATTAGAGAAATACTTGAGTGTGTGGGGAAAGTCTAAGTATTAAAATTTAAAATATAAATTATAACTATCACATAAACTTTAAAAGTATTCAGACTGTAGTTTCTCTTCAAAGAGACCAAAGAAGCTAAATTAGACAAAATATAGATTAATTAAATTAAATTGAGTAGAAGCCTGCTTTTCTATGGCTTTGCCTTTCATTAGTAATTGAAATAATGTTAAATTAGAGTGAGATAGTGTTACTTCTTGTTCTGATGAATAAAATCATGAATAGTGCAGATAACATTAAACGAAAGTAGGAATATAATATTTCAGTGGCAAATAGCTTTCTTCCGTAAAAAGGAAATGCCAAGCATCAGATTTGTGAAAATGTTGTCATATATTCACACTATTCCCTAGACCAGAGTTAAAAAATCACCAAGCACTGCATTTTAAATTATTGTTGTGCTTTTTACTTGTATCTCAATATAATAAATTCTCATAGTATGATAATAAATGTCATAAGTTCGCTACAACTCCTTTTATTCATTCCTACATACAAGTACAATTTAAGAATTAAATATTCATATTGGTTGATTCATTTGTTCAGTGTTCTTATTGAATATAGTATACTTAATCATATTTATCCTAAAAGTTTAACTTTATCCTATGATTCTGAAATTGAACAACCTATACCGACCATGTTTAAGATAGGCACTCAGCTTTCCTGTGGTTTATCCATTAAACTCTAATTACTCTCACAAATATAGAATAAAGCATGCGTAGACATTTAACCATGATTAGTGTAAGCTTGGAAAATTATGAACCCATAATATATATTGCTTTGTTATAATATATAACAACTGGACCATTGTTCATTCACATTAAAAAAAACTTAAGCGGTTCATTTGATGGAATTTACACCCAAAAAAAGCTGTCTACTGATCTGTGATGGAACCCAGTCTTACTCTAACTGGAGTTTCCTGCATGACTTAGATAATGGAGGAAAAAAGGCTCAGGGGATGAGTAGCTGGGCTGTGACAACATACATCAGATGGTGCAAAGACTGGTGATTATATTATATTAGGTTGCCTCTCAAATGCTGTAATAAAACACTTAGCAAAACCACCTTGGGGAGGGAAGGGTTAATTTCATTTTACTCTTCCAATTAACAGTCCACCACTAAGGGAAATCAGGGAAGGAACTCAAGGCAGGAAACTAGGGTCAGGAACTGAAGTGGAGACCACAGAAGAAGGCTGCTCAGTGACTTGCTTTCCATGGCTTGATCTGTTACTATCCTTTACATAGCCCAGTCCCACTTGCCCAGGGAAAACACCACCCACAGCTGACTTAATCCTTTTACATCAATTACTAATTGAGAAAATGCCCACAAATGGCCCATAGGCCAATATGATGGAATAAAGTCCTCAACTGAGGTTCCTTCTTCACAGTTTTCTCTAGTTTCTGTCAAGTTCACAAAACCCAGCACAGTGGTTTTTAAATGTTAAGAACTTCCTGTGGAGAGCAGAGCCTCATTGCTTCTTTTAACAAGTGCACTTTCCCCACTATACTTGACATTGCTTGAAATTGAAAATATTCTCAGTTGATCTAGGTCACTCACTCTTCCAAATTTTACTGTTTCCATTGCCAAATACTCAGATAGATGATAGATAGATAGATGATAGATAGATAGATAGATAGATAGATGGTAGATAGATAGATGATATAGATAGATGATAGATGATAGATAGATAGATAGATGATAGATGATAAGACAAAGAGAGAGAGAGAGACAGAGTCTTTTATTTAACAGAATACTTTTTGGACTGTGTGCACTATTACATAGTATGCATAATCTTTCCTGTAAAAACAGGACGTATGTTTCGCCTTGAAACAGGGCCTTTATTATATAAAATCAAATAGTTTGATTCTCTCCATTGTCAGCTCTTCCCTCTCCCTTTCTTGTTTTTCACTTCGCCCCTCACACCTAGTCATCATCTATAACTCTAGTTTTCCCTGAAACCAACCTTCACATTACCCTTGACACCTCCTTAGGTGCTCATTGCTTTCTGGTTCTGCTCATTTTCCCTCTCTGACTCTTATTAACCCTCCAAATCCATTCATTCCTCAACTTATTTTACACAACACTTGCCCTATGATATCTTTTGGAAGACCCCCAAAGAAATCATCGTTCCTTTTCCTTGCTCTTGATGCCTCTCTGTATAAATGATGGCTGTGTAATGAAGTTTCTAAAAACATGAACACGGGAGTCAGCCTGCAGGATGTTTAATCTTAGTTTTGTGATTTACTGCTTGGGGAAATTTCTTGATTTCTCTATCTTTATCTTTTCATGTATGAAATATGATAGCACTAATACCTGTACTTCATGGGATCAAATGAATTCTTTTAAGTGATGTGTTCACAAAAAAAAAAAAAAAAAACATAGTCCATGCTAAGTCCTAAAAAGTATGAACTGTTAGTGTTGTCACTGGCAAATCTATTGTATCTGAATCTAGCAGCCTAGAATAATAACAATAGATAGGGATTTAGCATGAAAAGTGTCAGTTTTAAAGCTAGAACTTATTAATGCCAACTGAATTCCTTCTCCTGGGTGTCTAGTAGCAGACCTGACTTTTTTCTTTTTTTTTTTTTTGAGCATCTACCACAAAATCCAATGAACAATTAAGACTCATCCTCTTCATGTCATTGAACCAAGAATAGAAGTTTGAAGTGAACATTAGGGAAGCGGCTGTTTGTTTAAAATAAGGATAGGCCTGATACTCCAAAAGTTCCAGATGTTTTGAAAAAAACTGTTCTACTCAGATGTGATGGCCAGAGATTTTCTAGAACAAAGGAAACTGTATAGTTAAATTTACCTGCATTTATCAGGAAGACAGGAGGTTTACTGGTTTCAGTTTTAATAATATTGCTTATGGCTTTGGTCAGAGGTATAAACAATTGAGGAATATTATGTGTACATTGTATAGTTACTACAAAGGACCCAACCAATGTTCTCTACCTTCATTT